ATTGCGCTATCATCGGTCTTCAAAGATTATTCAACAAAGTTGCATCTGTGTTTGACTTTCACATGTCACGTGAGCTACTAGAGTTACTGCGACGAAAGTTTTCCGCTCTATTTTCTTGGAGAATGAATCGTAAAGAGTAGTTTTTAGATTTTAGTATATTTTTTATTATGTATACTACAGTCTAGTATAAGTATTAGCTAACAATCATTGATGTTGATGCAGAAATTAATTAAAGCAAAGCAAACTACTCTCCTGGCGATAAAACATACTTAATTCTTTACGTAGGATTTACCCCTTTACTGTCAAAAAATTCAGCGGCGATTGTAGCTATATGAATCATGAAAATCACAGATTAAGGGTAAAATGAGGCAAAATGGACCAGTACATGGCTGGTCACCCTAAAATGCTGCATCATTTATGCATATTTCCTTATTAAATGTTTCACAAACGTCTATTATAATTGAAAGATTGCTTTGTTGTTGATGTAAACAAATCAAAATTGAACCTTAGTTCATCATCTTTACGCATATATTATTTGTATGCACTAATGTATTTTCTTTGCTCATGTGTTCAAAGTAAGTAGTTTTTTAGCGTTGTAAATTAGCATAAAATCGTACGCGTAATATTATCGCACTAAAGCATGCAGTCGGGCATTCTTATTCCCGGATGGTTTTCATTTATTCCAGAGCTGGTAACGATCACTACTACCAGAAATAGTGATTTTAGTGACCATGTTGAATAAATAAGTTACCAAATAGTGACTTATAGTTGTAAAAATAGTGACTAAAAAGTGACCTAAGAGAAGGCGCATCAAATAAATGTTTGATGTTTTAGACTTATTCAATAATTATCTCATAAACACTTATGTACGATATGAACTTTTAAAACGAAAGATTCAATAGAAAGCTTATAACCAAACCCACGGTAGTAGTCACGGTATCTACTAACTTTAAAAAATCTGGAAAACCAGGAATCCTTAGCAAATTTGCTGTTTCCTGATAATACCTGGAAGTCTTTAAAAAAAACTTACTAAGGATATTTTAAAGGAAATAATGAATTTTTAAATACAACCTTTAATTTTCCTTGATTATTTTTCCTTGATTTGTTTTCCGTCGATCTTGTTTTCCGTCGATCTTGTTTTCCGTGCTGAGCACCAATGCTACCGACGCCAGGGAGGCAGCTCCCACACCTGGACCCTACCTATCGACCCATCACAACTCATGAACCGGGGACCAACGGCTTTACTTCCCATCCGAAGGAAGGCGTGATCAGAGATGTTATGCCTCAGAACATCCCGGCGGCGCCGACTGGGATTGAACCCAAGCCTGCTGGGGTGAGAGGAAATCGCGCTTACCACAACACCACCGGCGCCGCTAATTTTTCTCGTTATTTTCATTCTCACTTTAAACTTTAAAGATTCACAGTGGATTAATCTTCAGTAACAAATAAATTAACAAAAAAAACATGCATATTTAAAAAAAATAATTTGAACTAGTTCTGGACTTAACAGCTATAATACTTCAAGAAATTTTCAAGAATCTGGAGTCAAATTCCATGCACAGTTTTAAAGACTCGAGGAATTTGATTATAATTTGTAAGGATCTAATCCTCTGGGAAAAAATCAATCAGAAAAACATCAAATGCAATCTGCTTTCGAGGTAGTTCTGAGGAATTTTAGATTTCATGTGAAGCTTTAGTTTTGAGTAGAATTACAAGAAACCCTGAATTGAGTTGAAAGTAAATGTTAATGAAAAATCTTAAGAATTTCTGAGGAGCACAACTCTTGTGAACTTCACCGGAAAATTCCAATGGAATTCAGAGGATAATTTCATAAAGTTTGTGGGAAAAAATGAATACGGAGCACAAGTCTTTGGAAATTTTTAGAAAATACTAAAATGAGGATTACAATTATATCTGACAATAACTCCAGAACCTCTTCAAAGGAATTCGGAAAATAAATTCAGGAGAGTTTGCCTTACTTATTATGAGAAGAAATGCCAATGAATTGTTAGGAGACTTTCAATGTGAGTAGAAATCCAAGGGAAGGAGTGAGATTGAAAAGGAAATCTGAAATGAATTCAATGAAAACTCGGAGAATCTTTCCAAAGGATTCCTAATTGTGGAGAATTTCAAGGTAATTCCGAGGAAAAATTAAAAGAAAATTTAATTCTGAAGATAGCTTTATCGAGATTTTGAGGAAATCTCTGTTGAATATGGAATGGACTATTTTGATTTCTATGAAGTAATGTTTCAGAAGACCACTGTCCTTCTGTGAAGTTTCCGAAGTTTTTCTTCATTTTTTGAACTTTTGTGGTCCCGCAATTTTCATGGAATTAGTAGGAAATAATTAATATAGTTCTATGATTTTCACTAAGTTTTCAAGATTTTTCTGAAGTTCATAAAACTTCCCTTAAATTATCGACACTAATTTAAAACTTCTTCAATAGTCTAGACATTACTGAATTCCTTTAAAGTTTTCTAGACTGCCCTGAATTTATCAGTAGTTTTTAAGAACCCGCAACTTTACTGACATTAATTGATATGCCTTGAAGTTTCGAAAATTGTCGTTAAGTATTATAACCATTATTAACACTCACTAATTTTCCCTGAACTTATCTATGCTTACCTAAAGTTCTCTAAATTTGTTTAATAATCCAGCAAATTTTCTGATAATATTCATAATTCGCTGACGCTCTTGGATCAATCCTAGAATTCTTGGAATACCCCATAATTCCACGGAACTCCTTGTAAGTCGCTGCAAATTTGCTTAAGTTAATGGGATTATTCTGAAGCTATCTGATCGTCCTCGAATTACTCGGAACTTCGCTGAATATCATTAAACTATCTAAAAATATCTAAATTTAGTTGTCTGAAATTTCTTGAAGATATCGCTGCTTGCTAAAAGTTCTCGCTTTTTTTTATTAATGTAACTTCGTTGATGTTCTTTAATCAACTTAGCTCAATTTTCGCATTTTTTTAAGTTCTTCAAATCTCTTTGATATAACACCCTTAAAATACTCTCACGTTTTCCGAATGTTCATACAATTTGTATCACGTTCCAGAAATTCTCTCAGAACTTTGCTGAAGTTTTCGGAAATTCACTGAGTTTCTCGAAACTTCTTTAAGGTTTCTAATATTTCCTTGAAATTATTTGAACTGCCCTTTGATTCTCTGACCTGTCGTGATGTTCTCGAAGCTTCCATAAAGCTCTTAGTTCTATTGAAGATCTCGGTTCTGCTCGGAAATAAATAGAATTTCCGTAAACACTTTTAAATTTCTCTGTAATTCTCTGGATTTCTGTGAAGTTTCTGAAATATTTCTGAACTTTTCATAAATTCTCTGAAGGTCTATGTACTTTCCTGAAATTCGCGGAACATATTAAGCGTTCTCGATTTGTTTTTCAGCACATCATGGAACTTAAGAGATGAACTAGCCTATGGCTAAAAATCTCTATAATAAAGAAAAAAAAAAAAAAAAAAAAACATCATGGAACTATCATGAATTAATCTTAATTTATGATTATAGATTTTAAACTGCTCCAAAAGTATGGACCAAGCTACGGGAACTGCTCTTAAGATCTGAAATTCCCCAAAGATTTCTAGATCTAGCTTTTCTGAGGTGCTTTAAACTTCTTAAAAATTTGCACAATACCCCTCAAGTTTTCTTAAATTTCTCAAGTTTGCTTGACACCGGTGAAGTTCTCTGAAATTCTAGGAACTTCATAAAAGTTCCTGAAAAGTCTCGGATGCTAAAAGAACCGCTTTGAGGTTCATACAGCTTCCAGTAAGTTCCCATATTTTCAGCATGTTAACTTCCCTTATGTTTCTGCAGTTTGTTCTCAGCATTTCCTTTCATTCCTCAGAACTAATCCAAAGTTCCTACAGTTGTTGTAAAGTTAATGGGACCTCAATGAAGATCTCTGTTATTTCATAAAGTTAATTACGAATTTGAAATAAATCATTTATTTTTATACTTAATTCTAGCACTTTGAATATTTTTAGATCTTGGACTTACTTACTTAGAAAACTCAGGTAATTTTATCGAGAAAAATGAGTAGCCATCCTGTATATAGAGAAAGACGATTTAACGTCACAACGCAAAGAATAATCAATCTTGAAATAAATTCACGCTAAAAGAGTTGAAAATAGTGACTTATTACAAGAAAAAGTGACTTTAGTGACTTGGCCTTAAAAAAGAGACTTTTTAGTGACAAACTTGAAAAAAGTGACCAAGTCACTAAAAAGTGACTCGCTACCAACCCTGTTATTCGGATTCCTACATGTTTGAGCTTTGAAACGATTTGATCGCCATTCTTAGCCAGTCGTACTCTTGCCCCACTCGAAGGACGATTGTCTCCGTGGGGGAGGAGCGGGTGGTCATCTCAAGAACGATCTTCGTAGTTTATGAACAGTCCCCATACAATTTCTAAACAGACAACAGCATCAGAAATCTGTAAAATTGCCAAAGAAATAAAAAAAAAATATTAAAAAACTTGATTTTGGTTCAAAATTTCAAAGAACCCCATTAATGAATTTTATGAGAATTTCTGGTGGAAAATTCGAAAATAAATGGAGGCGATCAGAGTTTCCTTATTTTCAACCATCAAAATTCAACCATCGATCTTCTGCGGTATTTTGTACACAACATCGTTCGGGTCTGATAGTCTCATTATGTTTCTGACGGCTATGAGTTAGTGTAAAGTTTGCATTTTCCTGCGGTCTTCGGTTGCACCACAACATCGTAGCATAAGTCGAGGGGTCGCACAATATAATTAATAAGTACACTTTGATAAATGATCCTGCAACTTTTTTTTGGTGACAGATTCAGCGTCAAAGATTTCTAAAAATTAGTTCTTCGAAATCCAAACATCCAAAGCACGTGGACCCCTCGGTCGTGGATGTATAGGCATGCATGCATGCGGGTTGGTACGTACTCTGGGGAGGTGACTCAACCAAAAACAGCCCAAGTTTGCTCCATCCAACAGAAGCGCACCATCGTTCTCTCAGTTTGGAGTTGTAGCTGAAACGTGCTGGACGTATAACTACACCATTTTCGCGCTGGTTACCTACCACGACGGTATTCGGTTCGTTCGCTGTTGTTAAATATTTTGTTTTGTCATGTTTTTGACGTAGATTTTTTTCCCTTGTCCGGGTACATAAGTATCTTTCCTTTATTTTCGATCTTGCTTGTGTATGCGGGTGTTTGCATCGATCCGTAAGCTTTGAAGAGAAGATCTCCAATTTCTTGCTAGTGGTTGTAAAGTGAGTGACATAGTGGAAGGAAATTCTTTTTAGGTATCGACTGCAGGAAATTGGATTGTATCCGACGAAAGATAATTACAGTGCTTGGAAGCTTCCTTCAACCTTGACGAATCTGTGCTTGTTTGCGAAAAAAAAAAGAATTATTCCGTCAACGATCGCAGGAATATCGTGGAGCGCACTCGCAAGGGTGTTTGTAACGGTGATCGTGTGTAGTATATACAGCAACATGATAAAAAAAAATCAACAAAACATAATGCAGAGCAGAAGCAGAAAAAGTCTCATGAATGTGCTAAAGGCCAGCAGTTGGGAGCGCTCAAAGAAGAAACCCACTAAAGCGTGTGAGAGCCAGCCAGCAGACACAATTTAGCGGCAGAAAGAAGGGAAAACCAGCTCAGAAACGAGTAAAGAATGGGAAATAAACATATTTTCGTGTGAAATTTACAACTCCAAAAGTAGTACAGTTTATTCCGAGGTTTACTCGGCCTGAGAGTGATAAATTTCGACGACTTAGCTGTTTGGATAAGCAGCCTAGCAAAAGCTGTGCTGATCTTGGTTTGTTTGAAGAGTGAGGATTCTGTGCTTTCGGCGGCAGCAGTGAGAAAGCTGGGTGACAGCAAGTGACGAACTTTTGTTTTTATGACACTCTTGCGACGCGATGAGAAGAGACTGGCAAGGTGGGACCTGTTTCATTTTAAGGTCTAGGTCAGAGTTGAAAGGTTTCGAATGGTGGATGAAATTTTCCACAAAGTGGTATTTGGAATGGTCAGAAACGAAGCTGGAGGTAGCATGGGAATGCGGTTATGGTTGGGTGTGTTTTGCTTTTTAGGGCTCGAAAAAAATGTTTTGTTGAGATGGTTAAGTGGAAACATTTCGAAGCGGGTCGGGGTTTATTATAATCATGAAATATCCGGGCTAAATGAAATGGTGGTAAATTCAAACGTTATTTCAGCAATGTGTTTTTATATCAACATCTTTTGGAGCATTGCATTGTAAGTTATATTTTTCAAGTGTTAAAAATTATGCATTTCCGGAGAACTTCGAGATTAGGGCGTAATTCGTTTTGTAAACAAACTCGTCAATCGCCGATTTCTCGCGAATAAAAGCTCAATCTCGAAAACTAATACCACAATCAGGTATATGAATGATTTATCTATCATTTCCATTTGGTATAGTGTGTGCGCTAGATTGAGCTTTTATTCGCTAGAAATCGGCGATCGACGTGTTTGTTTACAAAAGCAGTTACGACCAAATCTCAAAGTTCTCCGGATTTGTCAAAAAGGGTTGCTTCCACTCACTTCGCTTTAAAAAAAGTTAAATGTTAAATGCAAAAACATTCTTTCAAATCACCAGCTGAAATTTCCTAAAATTTCCCCTGAAATTGTCTTCAGAGTTTCCTCGGAAATTTCCTCCAACTTTTGTATTTTTTATCCCATTTTTTGCGGTAGATTCTTCCACAAATTTTTCTGGTCTCCACTGGAATTGACATTCAACATCTTTTATTTTTTCCTACCTTTCTCGAAAATTTCCTCTGACATTCCGGGAAATATTCTGCTGACTTCTTGCAGAAGTTTCTTCTTGCTTCACCAATTTTTCAATTTTTTTTCTCAGAAGTTTCTTTAAACTTCCCCTGAAAGTTTTTTGCTTCACATTTTCCACTGAGGTGGATTTTTTTTAATGATCGAACAGGTTTGTGCACCAGGGGGTAATTTTCCCGGAAAATTTTAAATGAAGTTATCTGGTTTTCCCGGTCGTCACGTACTTTGAAATTTAACTAAGTATAAACCAAACCACCCTGAAATATTCACCAGTGAAAGATAAGACATTATTTTTCACTGTTTCGAACATTGTTCTTCCTGTTTTTCTTTGCGTTTGTCTTCCACCGCGAAAATGTTCGTGGAACACATTTTTCAGATTATAGTTTTATCATATTGCTGATATAATTTACTTATAATTTTACTACACAACGTACGTTCTTCGATGCTTGGTTCATGATTTATGAATTTTCCATGTAAAATCTGAAAACTGCAACTAAAATTTTCCGAGAAAATTAAGCACGAATTTTTAGAATTTTTTTCGTTCATTTAACCATAAACTCTACCTGCGGGCATAATTTAAAAAAATCTGAGACCCTTCGGACCATTTTATCCGTTATTAACAAAAAATCCTTCATATGACTTGCGCCGGAAGATTCTTTAATCTTCCATCGAAAGTTTGTTCCTATTTTCTCCGAACTATTCCGGATCAGAAAATTTCCTAGACCGGACCAGGAATTGAGGCCCACCATTTTTAATAATTGATAAATTTGATAATCTGATCCAGTGTCTGTTTTTAAAATTTTCCATCACACGCAAGCAGTAGCGCTTCAACCCAGTGTGTTTTGAATATCTTCGCTGTCACGTCCGACCAAAATAAACAAATGAGTTCATTATACATTAACGAATACGTTGATATTCACCACTGCTTGATTATACAACCCAAAATTGTCAATATCAGAAGCGATCCTCAAAAGCAAAATAATCAAATTCATTTTGGGCAAAATGATTATTTTGAATATTGTCGACTCCAGAGCCTAAAACCTCGATATTATCAATAATTCAGCATGAGGCAATAATTTTCCATCAATCTGTGTATAAAACCAACACAACACCAAGGTTGCAAATACTCATTTCGGCTAAAACAATGTTTTTTTAAATTATGAAATAATTAGATGCTATGATCATATTTTTAGTTGGTAAGATACAAGAAGAGGTTGCAAAGGATGTGTTTGACATATTAAATCTGTTTATTTCACTTCATGAGAGTCACAATCAACGATTTACCACACACTCACTCACTCACTCAGCGATCAGCAAATCGCTGATTGTGACTCATAGAAAGCAAAATTTTCAGGTTTTATGTTTCAAACGCATACTTTGTAACCTTTTCTTGTAAGTTACAAGTAAAACATGTCATCATACCATCTTTTGGTTTTATTATTCCGAAAACATTATTTTAGCTGTAATGAGTATTTGCAACCTTGCACAACACACAGCTCTATATTTGTGTAATATGAAAATAATCATTTTGCATTTGATACTCAAAATCATCCCCATCAAGATGAAGATAGATATTGATATTGACAACAGCTTCAAATGAACATAAACAAATGTTGACTTCGATACTCAGAGGTTGCCTTGATCTCAAGAATGTGTCTATGTCAATATTCAAATTCATGCAGGTAGTTGGTCTATCTGTTAAGGTTGTCTTCATTTTCAGCTAAGTTGAGTGTAGAAGGAATGATTTTTATCAGCACTGATCTGATTATGTCCAAAACTTTACAATTACAGGAATCCTCCGAATAGCGCGGTGGGTGGTGCAGCTTAAACGCTGTACAGACTGGAGAGTTATAACATGTTATAACGGTTGTCAAATAATTGCAACACAGAAACCACCATCAAGATAACGCTATAACATGTTATAACTCTGTAGTCTGAACGTACTATTAGACATCGCTATTTCTTGGCAGTCCTTCAACTGATTTTTTTTGTGCTTAGTGTCAACCATATACTCACAGAGGACTCACAGAACAGAGGAAGTGTGAACAAATCAGTGTCATTCCCACTATAGAACTTATAGAACAATGAATGTTAATATAGGGAACCGCAAGGTGATTTCGTTCACACTTAGGTGCACCATCATTAATCACAATTTCTGAGTCAATTTTTATTGAAGCAATGTTTATTACGAACCTTTACGACATATTAGCTGGGAGCACCCCCCCTTGGTGCTGTATGACGAGCTTGAAAGGTTTCTTTAAAAAATCGTACGCTTCACGCACCTGGTCCATCGGCATCTCGTCCCAGATCTTGGAAATGAGCTTCTTAAATTGGTCCATAGTGCTAACCTGATGTTCGCTCTCCTTGGCCAGCATGTACGACCATACATAGAAGTCCAGGGGATTAAGGTCCGGGGAGGCCACAAAGTCTTATCGAGAAAATAAGTCAAATTCTCCCGACACCACGCTTAAACACCGTCAACAGGACGGCGCACCGCCGTGTGGGCCGGTGCGCCGTCCTGTTGAAAGACGAAATGATCCTTCCCGTAGAGGTCCCGAAGTTCCGGTGCCACAACCTTCTCCAGAACCTCGGTTTTATAGTACGCGGCGTTGATTTTTACGTTTTTCACGATCCCACGCCTGTATACGCCCCCCAAACCATTACCGACGCGGCGCTCTGGAATCGCGGGATGTTTATTTGCGACGGGGAAATGCTGGCCAACGTCGGCGCCCACATCCGATCATTTTGAGCATTGTGTGGCTGTTGCAAGACAAAGAGTTTCTCATCAGAAAACACGAACTCTTGACCTGCGTGCCGCGAAACAACTTTACTACGACGTCGCGGTACTCCTTTATCGTTCGCGGTAAACAACAACAAATGACAGCAAGTCGACACCGTGCGCGTCGGTTAGCCTATATATGAGGCTAAAGCTGACACCAATACCAATACACAGACTGCACATGGTTCGCACCTGCACAACGATGAAAAGTTGTATTCGAACTTATTGATGTACAATTATGGAGCGGGTATCCTCGATTCGCGACCTTGGAATAACAATTCTGGATCAACAATAGAAAAGGGCCCATCAGCATTTGTAAACAAACCGTTCCAAAGTCCATTCCTCATAAATCGAAGGCCGCTCACACAAACCAACACGATCATCGTGTAGGTAGAAGTTTCCCCTATCTGATGATGGTTTTGGTTTGCTTGGGTGTCAATTCGTGAGTAAAGGGCTTTGTTAACAAATGCTGATGGGCCCTTTTCTATTGTTGATGCAGAATTGATCA